CACCCCACCGCCCCAGGCACCAAAGGAGAAAATGAGCGCCAGCCACGATGCCTGATGTTATGGAAGCCGCAGGCATCCCAGTCCGCTGGCAGGCCGGGGACTCTTGGGCCTCACAGGGGCCCGACTCCTGCCGCACCTGGGAAGTTGCCTAAGTTGAGGCCCCTCCACTCAGACCAAGGCCCTCACACGCCTATGACCCTGTGAAGGGACTACCCACCACTGAAGCGACCCTGCTTGTGGAAGCAGCCTGACAGACTCGCCCCGGCCTCTCAGGGTCGAAGGCAGCGGCAAGGTCCGTGTCACCTCACTGATGGGGGTGCACCGGCCCCTTAGGACACCCAGAGTTCCCTCCGACCTGGGTTTTCTTCAGGGTTGGCTACCCTTCCCCTCAGGTCAAGGCGGTCAGCTTCCCGATCCATGACGCATGGAGTAGGGAAGGAAGGCTCACATCCACCCGACTGCCACGCTTGGCTCCTCAGGGAGCGGCAAGCAGGTCCTTGGAAGGACTTTCTGCCTGAGTCTCCTCATCTTGACCCAGGTTAGGGCCTTCTCCATTCTCTGCTGAGCTGGGCCCGCCCACTTACAGCAAGACCCACACCTTCCTGAGACCCTCGGGGGGAAAGGTCACTCAGCCTGACTGCTTTGCCCAGGGCGGCCCAGGGCGCCCCAGGCCTGAGAACAGGGGCAGGGCTTTGGGGGCGGCGGCACAGGCCGGCCTGTGCCTGGGACGGGTCCCTGATTCTTCGTCCAGCCTCCTCACCTGGCCTGGAGCTAAGGCCTGGGGCTCCTCACTGGCCTGCCCTGAGGTAAAGCCTCTCACTTCCTAAGTCGAGGAGCTGGGAGGGAGCGAGCGCTCCCGTCAGGGCACCGGCGACAGGGCCGCTCAGGCCTACAGCTCGGGGGATCTCTGGCGCTGTGCAGAGACGTTGTGGGGCGCAGCGCACCCTCAGTCTCACACAGGGTTGTCAGCCACACTCCTCTCAGGACCTGGGGCCCTTCCCTGGGCCACAGCCCTTAGGGCAAGGCTCACCTCTCAGAGGTGTTCCCCCAGCCAAGTCCGCCCCCGACCAGGTCTCAGAGCAGGTGAGGGGAGGTGTCCGCACACCGGCTCTAGGACTGCGTTATTCATCCGGGTCCTCACCTGGGCTCCTGTCTCTCTAATGAAAGGCTTCCTGGGAAATGCCACACCCCTGCAAACCCTTGAGAAACCTCCCTGCTCAGGTCCCACAGAGAAGAGCTCTGTGTCCCAAGAGGGCTGTGAGCNGCAAACCCTTGAGAAACCTCCCTGCTCAGGTCCCACAGAGAAGAGCTCTGTGTCCCAAGAGGGGTGTGAGATGGGGAAGCTGAGGTACCAGGCAGAGGACTCCGGGCACAGGGCCGGCTCTCAGACAAAAACAAGCCCAAACAATCAAGCTAAACCTAGGCTCTTCCAGTCCTTCTCGTTAGCACCCAGACTTGGCCGTCTATGTAACTTCTGTTCCGAAAGATGGACTTATCATAGGCAACGGGTAGAGCCAGATATATTTTGGAATAGAGAGAGGAAAAGTGAATGAAGATATGTAAGGTCTGCTTCAGGCTGGGAGAGGTGGGGCAGTGTGTGCCCTACAAGAACAGATGTATTCAGGCTAGGGGTCTAGTCTAGTTCTGTCACTTAGGGCCTTGTGACTATCAGAGTATGACAAATTCCTCATCTGCCAACTGGGTGTGATAAACCCTCTCTAGGAACACTGTGGGAACACACATCTTGGAAGCATCTGCCAAGATGACTGGCAAATACTGGGTATTTCATGAATGGCCGTTATGAATTTTCCCTGTACAGAATCACCCTACTTAGACATTTTCAAATACCCAGGGTATGTCTGAGAAAATGCGACACTCTCAGAAAGAACACCGAATCAGCCCAAAATTCACTTTGCAATGCAAAATTAAATAGCCTTTCTCCATTAGAGCATTTATTGTTTAATATTGGTTGGGTGGGGGGTCCTTTCCTCTTACCTTTATGCAGCTCACTGTTTCTAAAATTTCTTCAAGGACCACCAGCTCATTCAACCTTTCGCGGCTGTCCTTTCATTCAAACCTCATCCATTTCCTTTTTCTGTCTTTCCACCAAAATCTAGCCCTCTCTTAGAGTTTGCCTATCCCCACTCAACATACTCTAATTAAAATGCTCTTTTTATGCACTGGGATCTGACCCTATGACCTCAAGGCAGAAAGGGTCAACATGGAGGCTCTGTGCCTCTCATCAAAAGGAGTTTACCATTATGTGTCAGAACCTCCTGGAGAGAGTGTACATAGAACACCTATTTGTGTCCTCTATTTTCCTGCATTGAGATAACTATGGAGACACCTCTGATTCCTGCCTGTTGGAGGCTGAATTGTGCTCCCCCCCCCAATTCATGTTGATGCCGAAACTCCCAACACCTGAGAATGTGACTATAGTTGGAGGTAAGTTCTGTAAAGGGATGGTTAAGCTTAAAAGAGGCCATTAGTATAGGCATGATCTAAATTTATTGGGACCCTTATAAGAGTTTAGGACACATGAGGAGACAGCAGGCATGTGTTCAGTATGCCCTTCATACTGAAGTCAGAGCCAACCTGAGGCCCTTAGAGGAACTTCAGGAGCTTAGGCTCTGACCATACCGGTCCTTTGATTCTTGTAGCCAACTAAGGAATGACTTTTATGGTCTACTCACTGTTGTGCGGTGGGTGGTTCCCACAGCCCTCCTACTATTCGCCTTGGCCTCTGGAAAGCCTAGAAATCTCTGACTACTGGCCTCAGGCCANTCCCACAGCCCTCCTAGTATTCACCTTGGCCTCTGGAAAGCCTAGAAATCTCTGACTACTGGCCTCAGGCCATACCCTTTACACCAAGTCCCTCCCACCATTATGACACCATAGAAGGCAGTGATTATGTCACATCCTGCAAAATGTGGCCAGGTAACCCAGGGCAGCAGAAGGGGCGGGGTCCTGTGGGGCCCTCTGAATTCTGAGAGTAATGGGTTCCCGAAGTTCTCACTCAGGGTCCTCACTTTGACTCTTGAAAGGGCCTGGAACTCCTTCCAATCTTTACCTGAAGACCCTCCCCTGAGAACAAGTCCCTCACATCTCTGACACCCTTATACAGAGTCAGTGTGACTGCCCTGCCCAAGGCATCCCAGGGATGATGGCTTGGGCAGTCTCTGTGCCACCTCATGTTCCTAGTGTCTATGTTCCTCTCAGCTGTAATTCAGTGTTCTGCCCTTGTTTCCAGGCGGGGCCTGGGTTACCTCCCTGTACTGCAGACCACGGCCCTCACTTACTGAGGTGCCAGAGAGGAAATGTCGGGGGATGCACATGAGGCTCTCCTGTCTGTCCCCTTCCAGGGATGACATCAGTCTTCAGGCTCCTTGGGGCCTGTGTGTTCAGGGTAGGAGTGAACCCTGCACCCTCACTCAGGAGGCCCCTGGGTCTGCTCTTTCTACCCACCGAGGGTCACCCATGTGTACCAAAGCCCCCATGTCCCTGAGAATCTAACATTAGTGAGGGAATGCTCAATCTGACACCCCTTCCTCAGCCTTCTAAGTCTGAGAGGAGGCATAAGCCAGTCTCTCTGTGGCTCCAGTTATTCTGAGGTTCTTGTCTCCCCAGTCCCTATTCATCGGAGTCCTCTTCTTACTCCTATCTGTACTGTGAAAGGCTTCGTGGGAAATGCCTTATCCTTGGGAACTCTTGATTAGTAGCCCTACTGCGCACCTAACTGAGAATGGGTTGGTGCCAGGAATGATGTGAGATGGGGAAGCTGCAGCCACGGCAGACAGCCCAGGACAGGTGATGTGCTGCCAGAGAAAACACACTAGCCAGTCAAAGACTCTCAGCAAACTGTGCTTCTAGAAAAGGGATTTACTTCCTACGGGGGAGGGGCTGCGGCAAATGACTTTGTGAGACCCTGATCTTTCCAGGTTTCCTGATATTTCCTTTGCAGATTAGGATTTTATCGCTGAATACCATCTTTTGGTTTTTTATTCATACCTCACCTATAATTTGGTAATTATCTTGCTTGTTGCTGGGGCTCTGCTTTCCAAGTCAGTATTTGGAGTATGAAGCTATGATTTTTGACATCTGAAATACATTTTGAAAGCTGGGAGTAGGAAAAAGAATTAAGTGACATGAGTTGTACCTCAGACTTGGAGGAGTTAGTTACTCAGCATCAGCTCTAGTGGAATTCAGATCCGGGTCAAGCCCAGCTCTATCACTTACCAGCCTTGAGTATGAGACTATTTCAAGTGTTTGCTTGCAAAATGTGTCTGGTCGCCTTTCATGCAGGACCATGAATGTTCATTTCTGATGAAAGGCAAAGCAGCTGGAACAGTATTAGACAACTTTGGAGATTTAATGCATGGAAGTTATCAGTCAAGATGGTTTTGACCCCTGGATGATAACCACCTTGCCTCACAGAATTTAATTTCCATGCTATGATACAGAACATGCAACTGAATACAACACAGAAATCTGCATAAGCCGAAATGTTGCTGAGCAGGTAGGACTAAGTTGAATTCCCCCCATGGAGCATCTGTTATTTAATATGGGTGTGGGGATGTCTTCCCCAGCAAGACGCAGCACAAAGTTCATTTGTCTGAAGGACCAACAAATTCTCTCCCAGGTGCCTTTTTGTCCAAACCACCTTTCATTTTATTTGTTTCATTGCCACCGTAACTAGAGCCCTCCCTTACAGTGTGCCCAATTACACTCTGATTCTCTAATTAAAATGCCATTATTAGGGAAGGAGATTTGGCTCTCTGAGCCCCCGAAAGGAGACATTTTTCCAGTGGCTTCTTAGCATCTTACTTTAAGGGAGTATCGTCCTTATTTCTCAGAAATACTCTGGACAATGTGTGCCCAAAACACTTAATTCTTGCACTGTGCTCACATGCCCTGGGACAGGTGCACAGGACCCTTTCCAGTCTAGCTCCAGGTGGAGGTTTCTCTCTGGTTTTCCCACATCCCAAAGTAACTGATAAAATCAGTTTTCCATTCCAGGCTTCCTCTCTCAACTCTGCGACCCATCATCTGACAATCTGGCCTCTTCCCACCACTCCCTCAACTTCATCCATCCCATCATGCAGCCTCCTTGAAAATTACCTGTTCCCCACATGGCAGGACTGGAGGCTGCCAAGGTGAAACACTGCCTTGAGCACATGATGCACGATAGATTGCTCTCACCCACAGCCTCCTCTTCCCCACCTCTTCTCGTTCCATGTCATTTACTTATTTCTCACAGTGTGTGCCACCATCTTCCTTATATGACCAGTGCTGCTGCTCGACTCTCAATTTTATGGGCAGTGACTATCAGTCTTCTTATTCTTACCACCATTAGTACTATGAGACGGTTCCCAAGAGCAGACGGTCAATTAAAGCTGGAGGGGGAAAAAAGACAGGAGCAGGAATTCAAATTTTTAACAATTTAATTTCTCAAATGCAAATCCAGGTGTATGTTATTGAACTCACAGGAAAAGAACCAAGAGAACAGGGCAAACACAGAATGCACCGACCTCTACATTTGTGTCTCTATTTTGTTATCCCAATATTTTCCTGTATGCTTTTTCCCATTTCTAGGAAAAATCCTATTTCTGTGCCATGTTACCTTGCAGTGCAGCAAAAAGAACATATTGAAGGCTGTTCAATCGGCTTGTAAAAAGCAAAACTCTTAAACTTAAACCTCAACAGCAATAAATGTGATAGCCATGACATTACTAAACTTAGATTCTGAAGCAAACTTTCACTTAGAAGAAAGNGACATTACTAAACTTAGATTCTGAAGCAAACAAACTTTCACTTAGAAGAAAGAACNGACATTACTAAACTTAGATTCTGAAGCAAACAAACTTTCACTTAGAAGAACAACATTTGAAAGTATATATAATCCTAAAACTAACTCATTTGCAGAAGAAAACGAAACCCAATAGCATAAACGTTTTGTTCCCTAAAGAGCCCGCTACTCTCTATATTTCGAAGGTTGACTGCTCTCTTTAAATGCAAAGAGAAAAGCCTGGCCCAGACCTCACTAGACATGGGAGGAGCTACAGGACTTGGCCCTGGAAGAGGTAGTAGCCTTGGTAAAAGGGCCAACCATGACTGCGGCTCTCAGCCATGCTTTATCTTCCTCATCTGTCAAGGCCTCCTGATACAGGCTTGGGAAGGCACTGGGGGCCTTATTATTGAGCTTGGCCAGAACCTCCAGCACTTTCATCTTGCTGGTCTCAGCATGGGCTTTTGGCCCCCACAGGAACACATAGCTTGGAGGTTGACTGTCGGGCATCTGGTGGCACACCAGTTGCTTCTGCTGAACCAGATCATTGGTGATGAATGTCCTGGGCTCTCCCAAGATGGGATGGTTCTTCCCGGGGTAGATCCCCAACGCATCGAGGAATTTCCAGATCTCCTCTTCAGTGGCACGGTTGCCCTTCATGAAGATCACTCCCAGGAGCAGCATCACGAACCCGGTCTTGGGCAAGACCTCATCACTGCTCAGGTCTCCCTCAATCGGGAGGCCCAGCTTGTTGAAAAAGGCATAGACGTGACTGTTGGTGTTGACTTCCTTGAGCTCCAGGCCAAAGACCAGCTCCAAGTGATGAGAGGCTCTCCTGAGGATCTCCGGGAAGTGCTCCTTGTGCCTCCTGTTGACAAACTTCAGCAATGCGTTGTGAGTGATGGGCTCCTTCCGGTTCAGCTTCTGCAGCAGGTACTGCATCAACTTGCTCACCTGCCTGGGTATAGGATCTCTGCGAGCCCTCAGAGTGGCGAGTGCTGCCTGAGAGGCGCTTACACTTTTCTTATCTTGGCTCGTGCCACTGGCATCAGATGTTGGGCCTGAGGCACCTGCTTCAAGAGAGCTAGTGGCTGAGGCTCCCTGAGGCTCCTGGGATGGGTCAGGTGCAGGGGAGCTGGGAGGAGAATCCTCGGGAAGAGGGCAGGGGACGGACCCCTCTACCTCTGCTGCAGTGGCCTGAGCACCCTTGAGACTCTGAGTCTCACTCCGGGCCTTCTGGCATTTCTCACAGACGTGGTGCTTACTCTTCTGCCGCCGAGGCATGATGGCACTGGTCAGGGACAGCAGGCACCAGTGTGGCAAGAGAGTAGGTGATGCTGGCACCTGGAGGAGGGAGAACGAGATGGCTTGTGCACTCTCAGCTGGGAGAGTGCACCTTGCCTTTAACCAAAGCCATCTCTGCAGGGTCTGAGGGCAGTGTCCAGAACCCACAGCGCTCCTGTTCTGATCATACTCTGCCCTGTCAACCCTGAAGTGGAAGTTAAAGTGTACCTTAGGCTGAGAGCTGTAGAGTCCTACCTGGGTGTTCCCTGGGTAACTGCA